ACCACCACCACCTGCATCTCCTAGAACGCTTCCATCAACGCTGTCTCTGTACAATCCTGAAGATCCACTGGTCAGATTATGTGACCAATACATCTGTTCTAGAACGAGCAGCAATCACAAGTATCGAGGCCATGTTGCTGAGAACACAGTTGTGCTGGGCAGGGCACATCTCCAGGATGAAGGACCACCGCCTCCCTAAGATCTTGCTTTATGGTGAACTTGCCACCAGCTGCCGCAAGAGAGGAGCCCTGAAGAGGAGATACAAGGACTCCCTGAAGCAACATCTCAGCCTTGACCATATTGATCAACATAACTGGTTTACTCTGGCCTCCAACCGGGAGGTCTGGAGACACACCATCTATAATGCTGCTGATGCTTTTGAGAAAGCACGCAGGTTCGCTCTTGAGGAGAAAAGACAATGCAGAAAGAATCGTGCCTTGCAGAATATACCACCTAAGGAGTCTTTCTGCTGTGCCTTTTGCAACCGGACGTGCCTATCTCATATTCGCCTCTTTAGCCACCAGCGCGCTTGTAACAAACGTGGGTAGAGCCCTTCCCCAAATCTTCATTAGTAAAGCCTAGCCATGATATGTGGCACTTAGGAACATGGTTTAGTGATGGACTTGGCAGTGCAGGGTTAGTGGTTGGGCTTGATGATCTTGGAGGTCTTTTACAAACTAAATGATTCTATTATTCTGTGAAGTAGCTTGGGGTTTCCCAAACCAGCAGGCACTGCAGCTGCACAGCCAGACAGGGTTTCCTCTTCTGGGACTTCACATGCCTCTCGGTAAGGCTCCATGTTCATTTAGCTCTCTTGCTATTAGTAGCTCAGTATAGCTTAAAACAGTATAAAAGTATATATATTTTGTTGTACCTTCCTATTGTACTTTTAAATGTTTTATAAGGTTTTAAAGCCGTAGGGTATTGTACCTCACGGAACAGAGTTTGACATATAAATCCGTGTAATGTTTGGTTTGGCATTTGTGACCTGAACATCCCAAAAAAAGAGGCACCTCCATAAAAGATCATGAGTCAAGACAGAAAAAACAGAGCAGACTGTAATGCTGACTATAAACAAAAAAAAGTAAATCTGCTTAAATTGCAACTATAATATTGGTGTGGTTAGTGCTGATATTAAATGCGATTTCACTTGGTTGTTTTCATTAGTAAATAAATTCCCATTTGTAACTGTATTCCCATTACTTAGTCTTTTCATTATATATGCTATATATTCAGCTAACTCATTCTCACTTTTTTTAAATTAAATTTTCTATTCTCTGATTTTTACAGCTCTTATCTATAGTATCTCATTTCTTTCAGCATCTTCAGCATCTTTTCCTGAACAGCTAGCATTCTTCGTTACTTAACTTGTTTCATGTCAAGTTTTTAATTTTTCCCATTTAAATTAACTATTTTAACTAATGAGATTAAATTTTCACATCTATTTCTGCCCTTCATGTTGCTGTTACATGGTTAAGTTAATTCCATAGTGCTGCCAAGTTTCTAGCACTTAGGAAAAGCTTAAGGCAAATATTGCAAGTTTCTCATTCCAGCTAATTTGCTTGTTACATTTAATTGATGATTTATCAATTTAAGAGAAAATAAAACTTTGGTAAAAAGGATCACTGACAGATTAAAAACCCTGAAGCATCTTAGATTGATTTTATAGGGTTATAGTAGACTGAAACCAGTGTTGGATGTGAAACTGACTTAAGATCTAAGGACTTGAAAAAGGTCTGTCTTCAGAAGAGATAAGGCCTCCTGTCTGAACAGAAATTTTGGAGAGTGGGGAGCTGGTTTGTATTTTAAATATGCTATTTGAAAGCCTCCAGAAAGCTTAAAACAGCAGAAACAGATTCAGTGTGCACTATATAAGTCTCAACTCTTGGAAATGGGTTATGCAGACCAAACTATGGGCAATATATATATATGTAACTTAATAACTCTTGGGAAGGAAATCTGAACTGTTGGTTGCAGTAATGCTTTCTTATGCCTGGAAGGTAAAGAAGGTACTTCTACATGAGTGTCAGATGAGCCCGTTCATGGGTTATTTGAAGTGGTAAAAAAGGTCAGTTTGCCAAGGCTGGGTGTTCATGGAGTGAACAGCTGGGTGTATCTTCAGCTGACTTTGAAAAGCAGTTACCGTGTTTGGCAGTATCCCCTGGGGTAAAAAAGGTGTAGACAAGAATGATGTCTTAATTCAGAGTTTTTCAATGCATGGGATGTTTTGGTGGTCACAGTCACCCAAGAGAACAAAGATTTTAGAAAAGAAACAAAACTCCAGGTAATGACAAAAGTAAGTTTCCTTACATCTGCTGTAACCCCTTCAGTTATGAAAAATAGCTTTGAAATTCCAAATTCTTTGGTCCTTGTTATTCTGAATCACTTTCTGCATTTCTCTTAACTTTGTTAATGAAGACTGCATACTGGGCTTCAATGATAACGTACTTTTCCAGTGTGGAAAAAGAACCCTTCCTTTTATTTGCTGTGCAGTTTCATAGAATAATGGGTACCTCTGCTTTGTTTGGACACTTATGGCACTTTTTTTTTTAAAAGATACATGTATTTGTAAATCTGGGCTTTGTTCACTGGGCTATGGGGGCTTTTTTCTTCTTTGTTATAATTGTGCTATGCCTTTTCTTGTATTTCAGATTGCTTCCTTTGCTCCTTGCTTCATATATTTTTTTCTCTCACTATACTGGTTTTCCTACTTCCTCTTTTTACATTCTTCTCTGCCTTGCAGCTTTAGTGCATACATTTCTGTCATCTTCAGCTGTTTCTTTTTGTCTCTTTCAGATATGCTTTTACTCCCGAGCATTTGCATGGGGGTGTCAGAGACTCCCTCAGAAGCTGAATGGCCCCAAGAAGATAAAAGCTGTCTCTTAAACTCCGCTCTTCCTGAAGTGCAAGAACAGCAGATATCGTGCCTTCCCTTGCACCCTCCTCCTTCTGCCATCAGTCACTGTTGGTCTCCACTAGAACTGAAGTTTCCCCATCTCCTGGTCTCTGAGCATCATTTGGCATGTGGGAGGTAACTTGCTGTACCCTGGTTGTTACATTGTGTGTGTAAAACAGCTTCATATACGTAAGAAATGATGTAATTTGGTGAGACTTGGCAGAGCTCTGAAGGGTACAGAGGCTGCCTCCCTCCTGTCTTTATCACCTCCTCTTCCACCATCTTCCTAGCTTGCTCTGATACTTGGAAACTATAACCATTGCTTTTGTCACTTCTTTGAGATTTTGGGCTGATTTGTTCTGGAATAGGATAGACATGGTGAGAGTTGAGATAAGGCGAGAGTTGCGGTGATGAGGGAGAGGGGTTGCTGTGTGAGAGAGCAAATACTGTGTTTCAGAGACAGAGTCTGTTTGTCCCTGGCACCATTAAGGCCCTTAGCCACCTAGTCCATGCAACAGATCCCCATGCCTGTTGTTACCTGTACTAATGGAGTTTGGGAGGGTACAGCTACCTGTGTTGTGACCACCCTGGAAATTAAGCTATGGCCATGTGCTTCTGGTTCTCAACTCATGCAATTTCTGTTCTGTAGTTGTTTCTATTGCTGCCGATAGTGATTTAAAGCAGTAACACTGTAAAATCAAGAAAGGTTGTTACTGGAAATGGTCAAAAAGAGGCTCCTGCAATCTGAAAAACCTATAAGCAGCAGTGCATGGAAATCTCTATCAGGGCATAAAAAGAGCTGTATAATTTTTTGCATTCTGTTCACATTTTACATGATTTTCAGTGTATCAAGTATTAGAATTTGTCTGTCTTTTTACCTGAAAAACACAGTTGCAAGGGAAGTTCAATAGATGAGTGATTATTTTTTCTCTCCTAATATTTTGTTGGACTTTATGCTTTTTGTACCACATTAATGAACCATACAGCAGGCCTTGGATTTTTAATTGCTTATGCAGTGTTCAATTTGGGCAGATATAAGCCATATCCCTTCAGCGTTATGGGTAAAGTCAAGCACGCGCATAAACGAAATTCAAAATCTATTGAAATGTAGCCCAGACATAGCTATGATACACTGAAGGTCATGCACACATTCCCATCACACGAGCAAAAACTTTCAGTTATACTCTGAAATTCGTTTCTACAGCTGTGTTGTACGCATCCTGTCACGAATAGCCTTGCTTTACAGGGGGAGCGAGTTGCACGTCCCCGCTCAGCCTTTCTTCAAGCCGAGCCCCGGGCGTGAAGGTCAAGTGAGACAACTTTGTCCCCTTCACCCTTCCAGGTCCGCGCCGCTTTCGCCTTCTCGGCCTGTCAGCAAGTTCGTATCGTGCCATAGGGAACTCCTACACTTGCCGGGGTTCCCTTTGTTTCGAATGGAAACCCCAAGGCCACCTGCAGCCCAGGTACAGCCGGGGGTGGTCTGGCGCAGGTAGGCGGGCCGAAGGATGGCACGGCGGGAAGCGCAGCACCCAGCCCCGTTCGCTCCCAGCTCCGCGGCTCTGCCGCGCTCACCCCGCGTTGCCCAACCCTGCGTTACCCACCGGGGCTCCGGGCGCGCCCTCTCGGCCCCCCAGCCCCCGCCCGCCGAGGGGTCTCTCCGCTGCCGCAACTTTTCACCCGGCGGGGCGCGGGACTCCGCGCGGCCCCGAACACACTGCGGGGCGGGCGGCTTAGAGGGCGGCGAAGCCGAGCTCGGCTCGGCTCGGCTCTGGGCTGGCTGGGCTAGGCTGGGGCTGGGCGCCCGCGCAGTAGGGCGCGCTGGCGGCGTGGACCCGCCCTCCGCCCTCCTCCCCTCCTCCCACCCCTCCTCCCTCCCGCCGCCGCAGGGAGGCCGGGCCGGCCGGGCCCACGTGCGCGGTGCCCGGGAGCCGCAGGAGCGGCGCTGCCATGTGTTTCCTGGGCGCGCGGCGCCGGGGGCAGCGCCTGAGCGCCCCCGCCCGCAATGCTGCGGGGCGCCGCGGGGCTCTGCGGCGACGCGGACGCCCGCTGGCCCTCCCCTCGCCTTCTCCTCCTCCATGGAGCACCTCGGCGCGGCGGCCCCGTCAGGCTGATGCCCGGCGGACACCCGGAGCAGGCGGCCGCCTGCGCCCCCGCCGCGGGCTCCGGCGGCCGAGCGGGGCACCCCCGCCGCCAAGGTGCCCGGCGCAACCCGCGCCCGCCGCCGCTCCGCCGCCCGCCCCGCGCCCTACCCGGCGGGGTTTCCCCGGGTGCCGCAGGCGCCGCTCCCGGGGGTCCCGCGGCCGGTGGCGCTCAAGGGTCCCGCGCCACGGCCACCCTCCAGTTGCCGGCCAACTTGCAGCTGCCCCCAGGTGAGTGATCCCTAGCGGGCTGCCCCGGTTGCGGGCATGGTACCGTGTCGCCGCTTCCCTGGGATGTCGCGGTCCTTGCTGTCGCGGAGCGAGTCGGCAGGACGGGTATCCCGCCGCCCTGCCCTTGCTGCTGGGGACGAGGCGTGGCGAAGGACGGGCCGGGCGGCGGGGGATGGTGGTGGTGGTGGTAAAGGTGTGTGTTGCGCAGGTTGGTTTGCTGCCCCAAACTTCTGGGAACCGGGATGTGTGTTTGTCTTGCAGGGCATTGGGAATGTGAGTGTGTTCAGTCAGTTAGCACTGGGGATGCTTACAGCCTATCTGGAGGATGGATCTGGAAGTCTCTGGATTCAGGCAACTTCTTACTTTGCTGGATAGCACGAGGAGCAGAAGGAATATAACCCAAAACACAGTGGCCGGGTTACCATAATATGTGACTTGAAAACGACTGATGGAGGCTTTCGTAGAACTTGTATGAAGGGGTATCCGAGGAGGGGTGTGTGAGCGGGGATTGGCGACTGCAGAGCGAGTCCCGTAACTTACCGTGCGGTAAGACTGCCCGCGCTCCCGGGCAGTCCCACAGGAATTCTTTTCACTGGCACAACCAGGCCGATAGACCGTCAGTGAAACAGAATATTGCCGTGCCTAAGGAGGGCACTGCTGAAAGTTCATTACGTGTTGCTCCTTGAAACGCTTTTTTTTGCGTAAAAGCTATGTGGAAAACGAAGAGTTCAGAGAGGTCCCGCGCTTCTTATAGCGGCAACGAAAATATTAATGGAGGAATTGCATAGTGCTGATAAAGACAGCTTAATTGGATAGCAGCAGAGGGTTAGCCAGGGCTCCTACCTGCGCTTTCTCTCAAGAGGAAGAAAATGCTGTTGGTTCTGAACTTCCCGCTCTTCCCTGTCGGGCTGCATTTAAATGCTTTTTAAAAAAGAAAGCGACTTTGGTTCAACTGGTTTTGATCTTGCTCTATTGAGACCCCAAGATATGTAATGACTTTATTTCTATTTGGTGCTGTAATTATTTCCTGCCAGGACAGTTCTGTTGTTGGAGCATCTGTTGCAATTACTTTCAGGTCGGATGTTGCAGAAAAGGATGACTGGTTTTACAGTAATTCCTGTGCTAGTAGTGCATATTTGTTTTTTTTTTCTCTTTCTTTCTTCTTTTTTTTTTTTTTAATTGCAATGTCTTTACCAAAGACATGCACTTCCCAAGGATATGTATAATGCTGATGTAATTTTAAAAAGTTGTCTTTAGTCAGTAAGTTTCACTGTAGATTTCCCAGCACTCAGATGATGCTATAATGTCTGGGTAGTCAGCAGTCAAGGATGAGTCTAAATCTTTCCTCTGAAATGAACCATGATGGAAATATATTAACTTCTTGTAGCAGGAGGCCCCAGGTATTCCGGTTTTGTATCTAATATTTTTGCTTTTGGGAATGTATTGGCATTCAGTGAAACACCTTTCTATGAAGGTGAATGCTCGTGCAAATACCTACAGTTGGGGAACTACAAGTTGGCAAAACTTATGTTTTCTTCGTAGTGGGCTGGCTATACATCAAGGTATACTGTTGAATGTCATCTGACTTGTATTGTGGCAGTAGGCAGATGTAACAAAACTAGCATTACCCTTCAGTTGCATCAGCTTGTTTTCCTTGCTCCTGGGACAATGCAGCCTTTGTACTGGAAGTTCAGAGGTGCTGGTACTGTGCAGCATTGTAAATTAAAAGTAACAGTATGGATTTTAGTGCTTCAGAAGAAACTAGAAGTTGTCAGATTTCAAATGGATCAATGTTTCATGGAAACTTGCCTAAATAATTGTTGTGAGGATGATATAAAAATGCATTCTGGCTTGAGTAAATGTTAGTATTTTACCTCTATCTTCTATGTGGATTCAATTTTTAATTAATAATAAAAAATGCAAGATGAATAGCATTAAACCTGCAAGTGTTAGTTTAACATGATTAAAAAAAGAAGGTGGAATAAACAACCAAATTCTTAGGCTTGAAAAGTTTGTATTTCAAATAAACTGCCTAATCTAGCCATGCAGGATAAAATACAGAAGGGAGAATGCACTTGGCTTTAAAATGACGGCATTCAACTTTTGTGGCATCTGCGAAGAAAAGTGCATACAGAAAACATCCTTCCCTTGAGTTTCAAAGGAAGATGTTTGAGCTGTCTTGTTCTGAGGACAGCACTGCCCTTACTGGCCATCCTGAATTACTCGTGAACTGCTTTCGTCCTGGAGCATGTATTGCTCCTGTGCTTCTACAGCGCTGCAGTCTGGGGAAGGAAGGGCACCAGTGGAGCTGTGTTTGCCCCCGTGGCTTGGAGGGCAGTGGAGGTTCATGAAAGTCATGGATTTATGCTGTACTTTCTCTTCCATTTCTACCTCCCCTTTCCTCTTGCTCAGAATAAAGCCAGGAGGTGGGAAAGGCAGGTGACCAGGTATGACTCCTTGTGTCTCTGGGCACAGATTGCTCTTTTTACCTGCTTACCTAGGAAAGATTACTGGGCTCCGCAAGTTATCCAGGTCTCACAGGACCCAGACTTACTCATGAGTAACAAGGGGTTTTCATCACCCTCCTATGTATTCCTCTGCAAAGTGCTGTCAGACCAGTCCTGCTGGTACTCAAGGCCATCCTCCTGCACCAGTCCATCCCTGGCTTGTGGCTGACCACCTCTGGGGGTTTTAATATGCAGTAGTACTCCAGCTAGGGACTGTGTCCTTCATGTACCGTCAGCCAGGGAGAGTCTGACCTGAGTGCTTGCTTGTGGTATTTTGACCTTACATACCATCAGCTGTTAGACTAAATGTTTGGGCTATCTCCTCCCCAATGGAGGGAATTCGTATGATCCACCAAAGGGATCCTTCCTCAGTTGCCCTCTTTGGTGACAAGAACATGTTATCAGCATTTCAGAAGGCTTTGTGTGTGGCAGTCTGTGGGACTGGCAGGGAACAGACCAGCATGACCAGTGCAGTTGCTGTCTCTGTCCTGAGCTCTGCTCGTTGTGTGGTCTGTGCTGATGCTTATGAACCTGCAAATGTCTCCTGTCATGGACCATCTGCTTATCCAGAAACTGTGTCCTTGGTTAACGTGAGCTTAATGTTGGGGGGGGGAAGAAGGGGGAAGTGGATGGGCTGTGCTACTAACAGGAGGAAATAATTTACTTGGGAAGGGGAAGGAGCGACAAGGGCTATGTCAAACGTCCGTAGTTCACCTTAGTTCCTTTGGGCCCTGTACCGCTTTGGAGAAGTGAAGGGTGGAAAAAGAGCATAGAAACAGCAAAAAGAATGTTAATGTTTTTCCTTGGTTTCCTTGTTTACTTTTCTTGAACTTAGGTTTTTATCACTTTTCTGTCTGTACTTGTGGCTTTCATTCTATCCCTGCCCCTGGAATGCTCATAACAGGCAGGTGTTGAAAGGACAATTAATAAATATATCCACTTCTCTTCTGGTGGGATGAAAAAGTACAAAACTGAACCAGATGCCAGGGATCCTCCATTGTTACCTTGGATCTGCTTCCAGCAGGGAAGCTCTTCAAAAAGCTCATCTCATGCCACTGCTGCTGGTTACAGGGATGGCAGCAGCTGCCATCAGCTGTCTCTGGTGTGTGTATTTCTGTTTTATGCTTTCCATTATTGCTAACACCAGTGGGCCTGAGCAAGTATGGTGTCAGCAAAGAGAAGTCCCCCCGAGTCTGCTGTAATTTGCATGAGTAATCTGGTGCAAGGCATGGTCTCTGTAAGTTTCCTTTGTACCTGACTGAGGAGGGAAAGGCAGCAGGTACAGCTTCTTTGTTTCTCTTTGCAGCTCAGTCGTCTTCAGTTGGATGTTTTACCTTGTCCCTGGCAGGTTTTCCACTCCCTACAGCTTATCTAGGCTGATAGTGGGTAGGTGTTCAGAAAGCACAACCACTGTTTGTGGGAGGTGGTTGGAGCTGTGTGGCAAAAGGCAGTCAGTCAGCATGTGGACTCCTGTGGCTGGGAAGGAGAGAGCTGATGTGGGTATTCCAAAACTGCTGTGGGGTGGTATGGAGCCTGGTCTTGTTGGGTTTCTCTTGACTGGATATAGAAACTAAGGTAACCTGAAGGGGTAAGGGCAGATAAACATCTGGATGCTTCTACCTTCCGCTTTTGAAGTTGACCTAATAGCTTTCAAGTAAAGTGCTAAGAATCTCCCTCTTCATGTTCTAGTTGGTTGTTTCTCAGTGGTAAAACCACACCAAGAATTTGTTATTTTCATATTTATGCTTTATTTTAGAATTGGAGGAAACCCTGAATTTGAAATACTTCTTAATTTAAATTATGCTTGGGTAGGAGTAGGCTATCTAACGATTTCTTGTTTCAACAGGACAAAAACCCCTAGAAACTCCTTTGAAGTCTGCAGGCTTTAGATGTTGATAATCCCATGAAGTCTGAGTGTAGTATTTGTGCTGTAGGATGATCAGTAGGCGCTAAATAATACATTATTGTAACCTTTTGTATCTCAATAGTGTCCTTTAGCAGGTTTCTTGGGACGGATTCTTTGCAAACTTCTTTCTTTGCATCAGGTGACACCAGTCAACTTTTTTTCTTTCTGAGGAAGGGTCAGCAAAGCTTTGACAGGCTTGAAGAACTAAGTCAAATATAAAAAACAGTGGCTTCTGCTGTAACCAGTAGAAATTTTGGCTGCTCTGTAGGACTTGATTTTGCTTTCAGGACTGAATGTGACTAGCAAAACAATGCCTTCATATCATTAAATGCACAGCCGTGTTGGAATTAAGATTTAAATCTTGGCAGAAGATATAAAACTAATGTCTAGATTTATGGTTTTCATGCACACAGAAAAGTAGATGCATTCTGAATACTGAAGCATGGAAATATGATGCTCAGTAAAATTAATGCTAAAGGCTGTTCAGATTTTACAATCAGTTGGAGTGTATTGCAAAGAATTACAGCTACAGTTTGGTGAATGGTAAACTTTTTTTAAGCCTTAGAAGAGAGAGAATGTGAGCCTAA